TTGTGGCAAGTTCTTAAAGAGATGGAAGTACCAGACCATCTTATTTGTCTCCTGAGAAACCTATATGCGGGTCAAGAAGCAACAGTGAGAACTAGACACGGAACCACTGATTGGTTCAAAATGGAGAAAGGAGTTTGGCAATGCTGTATACTGTCACCCTACCTATTTTAACTTATATGCAGAGCACATCATGAGAAAGGTGGGGCTAGATGAATCACCAGTTGGAATTAAGATTGCTGGGAGAAATATCAACAACCTCAGATATGCAGATGATACCACTCTAATGGCAGAAAGTGAAGAGGAACTAAAGAGCCTCTTGATGTGGGTGAAGGAGGGGAATGCAAAAGTTGGCTTGAAACGCAACATTAAGAAAATTAAGATCATGGCATCCAGTCCTCTCACGTCCTGGCAAATAGATGGGGAAGAAATGGAGGTAGTGACAGATTTTATTTTCCTGGGCTCCAAAATCACTGCAGATGGGGACTGCAGCCAAGAAATTAAAAGACGCTTTCTCCTTGGGAGGAAAGCTCTGGCAAATCTAGACAGCATACTAAAAAGCAGAGACATCACCCTGCCAACAAAAGTGCGTATAGTCAAGGCTATGGTTTTCCCAGTTAAAATGTATGGCTGTGAAAGCTGGACCATAAGGAAGGTTGAGCGCAAAAGGATTGAGGCCTTTGAATTGTGGTGCTGGAGGAGACTCCTGCAAGTCCCTTGGACCGCAAGGCAATCAAACTGGTCAGTCCTAGAGGAGATCAACCCTGACAGCTCTTTAGAAGGCCAGATGCTGAAGATGAAACTCAAATACTTTGGCCACCTAATGAGAAGGAAGGACTCCCTGGAGAAGAGCCTAATGCTGGGAACAATAGATGGCAAAAGAAGAAGGGGATGGCAGAGGATGAGGTGGCTGGATGTTGGTGTCAAGCAGTTGGTTTGAGCTTAAGCGGACTCCAGGGGATGGTGGAGGACAGGAAGGCCTGGAGGAATGTTGTCCATGGGGTCGCGATGGGTCGGACACGACTTTGTGACTCTGCCTCTCCTTGCTGCTAATTTGTGAGTGTCCTGGGTGATTTGTTTTCTGTTAGGTGCCCTATTTATAAAAAGCTTGAGAACTCCCTATTTTTAATTTTAGATCACAAGTAAAGCATGTGTGAGTCTGACAGAAATAGATTTATGTGGAATGATAACTTTGGAGACTTATTTCTAGTATCATTTCACAGACAGAAGCATGTGAACAGATTAACCTCTGCATCCATGATAAACAAGTCAACACTATGATGCTGCTACATAAAAGTCAAATGTCACTCAGAGGTTTCATATTCAAAATTTAGGGAGTAACACTACTTTTCTATAAGACCAACATTGAATAACTGTTTTCCACTTTTGACATCACTGTTCAAGAAAAATAGACAAGATAACATGGAAGGCTTTTATTGGGCACTTAAGAAAATGGTCAAGGCTCTAGGACCTTGAGTCTTGGTGACAGCTGATATGAAAAAAGGTTGAAGGAATTAAATCTGTTTTTCTCATAAACGCAGAAGGAATGTGGGGTACCTTGATCTATTTATTTAAAAAGAATAGAACAAACAATGACACCAAAAAAGCGTCAGACGACCAAAGATTAAATCCAAACCAGAATATCAGGTACGACCATATAACCTCACCACCTAGATTTGTGGGACCAGTCCTTTGAAGAAACACATTTATCTCATCAGCTGCTAACTCTGCTAATGTAATAAGGGATGTAGAAGAGCAAATACAAGCCAAGAATAAATAGGACTGTTGCTGATGAATGATTTTAGAAGCAAACTACCTCATCTTCATGAAAACCGCAAGTTAAAGCACACTCTCAATAAACACAACATGATGAGATCAAAGTGAGATAAACTGAAGTTTATACCACTACATGTCACAGAAAGCTGTTTATGCAAGCTATTTATGCAATGTTAAGGTTTCTTTTTTGTTTTTTTATGGTCTTGCATGAGTTCAGTTTGTTACAGTGCCCTGCTATTTTTGGATAGTGTTTTATTCTTATGCATTTATTTTTGTAATTATGATATGTGATTTATTGTTGAATAAATCACTTAAATACTTGAGGATAGGCAGGCAGTTTAAGGTATTTTAAATGTGAATCATTGCAAAAGAAGGGTTGTACCTGATTGTATTTATATTTAAATTATAGCATGTAAATGTTTATTTAAATTAGCATGGGCCAAATTTATGCAAATCAGTGTCTTACCTTTTGGCAATGTCTTTCCTTTCCTTCTTTTTTTATTGAGGGGTGGTGATGGATAAATTAGTAGCCATCAGCTGGAGCTGATACCAAATGCTAAATGTCTTTCTAAAACAAACCATCTCATGTTTTCCTTCAGAGAGGAGTCTGAAATATTAGCATCTAGAGGGTTACCAAATGTAAAGTTTAGTTGTGGAGGAGAGCAGGGCAAGGAAAGGTTGCTGCTTTCTAAGATGAGGTAATAAATTACTGAATGTGAGCTGCATCCAAGCCTCTTTCTTGAAGTGAAATGGCTTATGGTGGTTACGTGGTACAACATTAATGTATATTAATTTCTACATAACAAATGGCCTGATGCAGACTATTGTGTGGGGGTTAAATCTTTCTCCTCATGCTGTTTTCCTCATGAAAACCTCATACAAAGCTGTTTGCTATGTTAGTAAAAGCCTGTGTGCCCACCCATTTTGCTAATAGGGACACTGTAACATCTTCAGCACTGTGGGTGGCAGACTTTTCATTGTCCAAATGGCACAAGGGAAAGGGATTAATTTGTGGCACCATGATACCACTCAGGATTGGATCCCTCTGTGGCTGTTGTTTGCAAAAATTTGAGATGGCAATGCATTTATTCATCTCTGTTGTATTTTAAAGTTTAGCGCTCTTCCATCTTTCTAGTTCTGAGAAAAGCCAAGAAGCTCTTAGCTTGAGAACAAGGATTCTGAACAGGTAATCTGTATCTGGAGATGTGTTAACACCTTCATGTTGTGGTGTTTTCTAATACGCAAGATCTGCAATTCCTCCCCAGCTGCATCCCACTGCACTTTCTGCTGAATATTGGTTTTGCTTTTATCTTTTTAATTTTAAGACATTTTATGAGGCTGCAGTCACTTTGGAAATGAGTATTGGTCAGCAATATGCAAAACAAGAGCAGCTTTCTGGTGGTAGAGGCTATACAGTTTTAAAGAAAAGTCTGAGGTGTTTTGTCTGTGTCTGCATTTTGTTACTACTGCTGCTCTGCTACAAAATAGACGGATTATATTTGCACAGAGAAACTACATGAAGGCAAACTCCTTATTTGAGGAACTTACAATGCTCAAATTTTGGCACAGGGAAGATGAAGGCCAAGATAAACTGAAGAAACATGAGTTCTGTTTCAGCACCTGATGGATGAATGCCTGAAGGGAATTGTAGACCAATGGTTCTATGGAAAAGGTAAGTTTTGAAGAGGGCTTTGGAGAGAGAGATAGTGTTTCTTGGATGTTGGGGTCAGAGGGGAGAATTCCAGGCACAAGAGGCAGCTTGGCAAGAAAGGACAAAAGGGTTTGAGGACTGTTGTGGGAGAAGGATTTCTGAAAAGCCAGACAATGTGTGGAAACACTGATGCACTGTCATGAAAGATCTCTGAGGATAGAAAAGAGGAGAAAGGTATCAGGAGCAAAAAGATTTGGAGTTCAGACTCAACGAAAAAAGAAACTAAGTCCATGTGGGGTGAGTTTAAAGGGCATTTCTTTAAGAACACTTTTATTTATAAAAAGGGATGCAGGGTCAGGGAGGCAATGGCATTTGATTTCATGAAAAATAAGCCCCAAACCCTCCAACAGAGAAATTAAAGAGAAACAGCGGGGGGGGGGGGAGCCTATGTGGGCAAAAAAAACAGCCAATCCAAGGGTTTCAGATGGAACAGAGATCAGTGTTCCCATATCTTTATTTCACAAGTGCCATATTTCTCCTTACTCAAACAGCGCCATCTTTCAAAATAACTTTCTGTACAATGGATTTATTTGCATGAGCCTTGAAGGTCCCACGGGGCATTGTGGCCTTTGAACACTGAAGACCAAGAAGCCTCTACCCTTCTCCGCAACTCATCTTCGAGGGAGTGGGTGGCAAATTTTCCATTGTGGAAATAGCAGAAGCCATCGGCCCAATCTGGATCGAGTCCCTCATTGATTACTATTTGTAAAAAACTTAAAACTGTAAAAATGTGCCCGTGCATACTATAAAAGCCGCCGTCTAAAGACTCCCCAGCTGTAAAACGGGATGTATGGGCTAAGCATTGGATTGAGAAAGAACAGGGCGGGGGAGGGCATCCCTTAAACTGAAAGATTCAAGCGGGGGTGGGGGGCACAGGAGGTGAAACAAGTGCGGGCAAAAAGCCGGCCATTCCAGGGAGATCAGATGCCACGAAGATCATCCCGGCCCCTGTACCTTTATTTCAGCAAGTGCCCCTGGATCGCAGGGTGATGAAGCAGACCGCCTTCCGGGGCTCCAAGTGCAAGGTTCGGGGTTCCAGGCCCACCCTGGGCCGTGCTGCCCCTGGAAGGGATAAAGTGGGAGGGAAACGGCCACACATGCGTGCAAAGATGTGCGCCCGCTGTCTCAATGCTCAAGCCATGGGCGCGCTTGGCCGCGAGGCTCCGCCCGGGGGGGGGGGGAAAAGTCATGGGGGGGGGGCCCGGGGGGGGGGGGGGGCCCCCCCGCGCTCTCTTCCCGTCGGATCTGGGCGGGGGGGGGGGGGGGGAGGGGTGGGAGGACGCCGAGGAGGCGGCCTCCGTGGGAGCAGAGTGAGGGGGCGACCGCGAGGCTAGGCCGGGGTGGCAGCTCGATGGCACCTTCCCTCCTCGCACTCGAAGCGTCGGAGCACACTGCGAGGCTGAGGGCAGTTTCGCCTAGACGAGCCTACCCCCACTTTCGGGCGGGAAGGGAGGCGGAGAGAGGCGGAGGGAGGGAGGGAGGCGGGCCGCGAAGGCAGGAAGGGCTGTGGCTGGAGCCGGGGCTGCGACGGGGGCAGGGCTGCGGGCCGAGGCGAGGCCCGGAGTCGGCAGAGGAAAGAGTGGGGTTTGCGTACGGAGCCCTGGTAGCCGAGCCAGGGCAGGGCCTTGCCGGCCCAGGTAAGAGACGGGGCTGCTGGGGCCACGGGGTGGGGGAGAACAAATGGCCGATAAAGCGCACAGGCGCCCATCAGTGAGGCGCTACGTCGCTTCACACGTTACGCTTTTTTGCCTGGACACAGGAAGAATGACGTGCGAAGGCGACCAACGTGTGTGCTCTTTCCCTTATTTATTGTTAAAAGACGCGCTCTGGTGTTGGAAGCTACAGCTGGTCCGACTGTTCCGCGCATTCTAAATAAGAGAGTGCAGACGAGTGGCAAACATGTCATGTGTGCCCGCTGAGCAGTGAACACGCGCGCGGCGTAACCCGTGTAGTAGGCTGCCTTTCAGATGCGTTTGCTGTAGTAGTAGTGCGATTTGGTCACTCGCTGCTGCGTGTGTACTGTTGGTGGTAAATAAATATTTGCCACCCTGCGACATGTGCTGTAGATGATCATAGAGTGTGTGTTGTGAGCAAGATAAGGATTGAGAATGTTTGCTAAAGCAGTTACTAAGTACACCAGAAATAAGAAGGGTAATGTTTTTAAAATGTCGTTTATGTCAGATCTGAGATGAGAATGCCTATTCCAGTTTGGAATGGTGGTGGTGGGGAGGCTTTCTGTGGTTTTTGAGCATATGCGTAATTTCTGAAGACGAGGTGCCAGGGCTTGGACCTGCCTCAAAGTTTGCCCTGCAGATTCTTTTTCAGTAAGAGCAAAACCCTTTGCATGTGCTCAAAAGTTTTGTTTTGGTTTTTTTTTATAAATTACGAATGTCAAGGCCGATTTTTTCGCACTGAAAATAGGTTCCTAACCGGTCTAAGCCCCAACTTACAATAAACTCTTCGGCAGATTGTTTTTTTTTTTTTTTAATCTTATATGGAGGCCAGAAACTTTTATGAATGTACACTGTATGGCAGACCAAGACTCGATGAGATTTTGTTGATTCGTTTTAGGTTGGCCGTTTTGTTTTGGTTTTTTTGCTTTACCGTGCTGAGCTGTAAACAGCTTGGAGGTGGAGAAGTGTTTACCTTCCAGCAGCAGAAGTAATAAATCTGCCGTACAGCTTCCCCTCCCTGTCTTTTCCCCAACGTTGCTGCCTGCCGACAGTTTCAATTTCAAAGCAATGTTATTGGTGCAAGGGTTAAGGAATGTGGGCTATCTCCTATCTACATGTTGCTTGATGCTTTGCCTTGCTTGGTGCTTCTGGTGGCATTGTCTTTTGAAGAAAATGCAGAACTTCAAGTCAGGGTGCCAAGTCATGAAACCTGAATTCCTGATGTTCATGTGCTATTTGTCAGATGGAATGGCTATCACAGGGCCCTTAAATAACATTATTAATGCACATTTCTCTGTCATAATCATGAGATGACTGCATTGGTGGATCAATATTAATCAAACCATATGAATAATATTCAGCTTTTTGCAACTTTGTTGAGAATACTGGGAGCTGACTTAAAATTTGCTATGAAATACATAATGTTCCCTATAGCCTTGCAGGAGTTGTGTGTGTGTGTGTGTGTGTGTGTGTGTGTGTTTTACTGGACCACTTGTTGATATAACTTAACAGTTTTTCAAGTGCTGTTCTATGTCTCACAAATTATTTAAGAATGATTCCTATCCTGATTTCTTACACATACTCAGTTTAAAAGGTTTATATCAGGAATACTTTGTTCAGTTTACTCAAATGTGATGAAAAAATATGAAAATTAAAACAACATTTTAACATTAAAATACCTTCAAAAACCTGAACAAATTAAAATTATCTTTGTCAAGTATGGAAAACATAGTGATGGTGCTGGATAACTTTCTTTGGGAACGGATTTCCACAAAAGGAGCAGCATCACTGAGAAGGCTCTTTTTCTCTCATCACCCCTGTCGTTACCTGAGAGGGCTGGATGCCAGGAAGAGAGCCTGCAAAGATTACCTCAATAACATTGACAGTTTGGTATATAAGAAAGCATTTCATTAGATACCAAGGTTCAAAGCTATATACTATTTCAGCGCAGTGAGATTTAAAGGTAAGTAGTACCTTTAACTCTGAATTGCTCTCAGAAGCAGATTGATCACTAGTGAAGATCTTTTCATGCCAGTATAATATGTTTGAAATAACTAGTCTCAGACAGCAAACTAGCAGCTGAATTCTGAACCAACTGCAGTTTTTGAACAGTCTTCAAAAGTAGAAGATACTATAGCGGTCCATCCTAGATACTACCATTACCTATTTTACGGATTATTTTTATTGTATAGGTTTGATTTTTAAGATAAACAAGTAGTACTTAGCATTCATTAAAATAGGCTTGGTTTCAGGTATGTAGTACCTGTAGGTAGCAGCCTAGCTTTGGACACTTTCCATGGTGCCTATCCAGGTGCCCTACCTCTCCAAATAAATATCATGCTTTCTCTAGGTCTACTTCTAAGCAAATTGAGGGCTTCCAGATCATCTTAGCTTCATTTCTTATGAGTGCCTCTAGGTTGTATGTGGTACTTAGAGCCAATTGTTAGGAAACTAAGAGGGTGATCAGCTGCAGGCCAACATTTTTTTCTTTGGTTTCCCCAGCCATCAAGAAAAGAAGGGAAATAAAGGATTTAGGGGAGAACCAAAGAGGAGGGCAATTTGGAGAGAACTTGAAAGAGTAGTTTATCATGTGCTTGCAGTGAGGAGAAGGGAGGGACTTGTGTTTGTATGTATGTATGTATATGGGTAGTGATCTGGGATGAAAGAGAAAAAGAAGGGGAGGAAATGAGTTTACTGGTAGAAAGAGGGGGAGGAAAAGAGCAAGAGTTTCTCTTCTGTGAAACAGGTTTCTGTCGGTGCAGAAAATTGTGGATTCAAAGAAGCTTGTGTGTTTGGGCTCATATCCAAAGTCTGGCCTGCATGCTGTCTTTGGGACAGGTTATTTGTTTGGGTCACTAGTCATGCCCTTCATGGTAGTCATTTGGGATGGTCTCCAGGACAATTTCTGAAATGCCCAAATGTGCCCAAGAATAGTTGGGAAAATGATTTGGAAACTGTGTGTGTAGATGGCTTTGGTGACATTTTAGGTTTAACTGCCACATTCTTAGTCAGGAATGAAATTACAACCTCCTTCCTGCAAGATTGCATGGTGACGTGGAAGGTCCATTTACAGTATGTGGTTTTACTCTCTTGAGTGAATTAATTTCACCTGTTCACTCTTTAAGCTGCTTCTGCAGCATACTTGCATAGCAGGCACCTTCGTGCACTACATGCATGATGTGTACACATATGTGTATAATTCTACTAATAAAATTAGTGATAGTTTTGACCATCCATCTGGACAGACAAATGGTAGGCTAGGTTTAGTTCCCCTTGCTGTCCCAAATAAGTGGTGCTATATCTGATTATTTCACTGGGGTGATACATGCTTCTTTAGCTGATCAACAGTCTTTCAACCTAATGTAGATCATTGCAGTGATAAAATGAGTTATCAGTTTGCATCTACCCATCTACCCTTACTTTTGAGTTCCTTTCAGGAAGGGTAGGATACAAATGTGACTAACCATAAACATGGATATAGATATAAATTATGTGCGTTTAGATAAATTAATAACCATCTCCTGAGTATAGTGTCTTTGCCACATCTAGCATAACCAAGAAACAGAACCTAAGCTGAGGTGATGAAAATAGGATTGTACTATTTGAATTGTAGTAGTAGTACATTGTATTTATGTTGTGCTTTTAAATTCTTATGAGAACCCCAAAGCAGTTTACAAGCTCCATTTTATTCTCACAACAACAACAACCCTGTGATGTAAGTTAGGTTGGGAGTGAGTGACTGGCCCAAAGTCCTCCAGTGAGCTTCAGTGGTTGAGTGGGAACTAGAATCAGATCTCTCAGGTCCCCAGCCCAACCCTCTAGCCACTCTACTGGTCTCTTTAGGGATACCTTTGTTTTTACTGAACTGCTTCATATAACATAACAACACACTATGTGTAACTAGCCATGGTGGATTTTCATATCATCCAACTCTAGATTATTGATCCCTACATTTTAGCTTATCTTTGGCAACAAGCCATGGCTTGTTCAAGGAGTTGTCCAGCTTATGTTGAATTGTGCATTCCATTCCTGGGAGAGCAATTTCATAGTGGGTTATGGGGCTGGCTAGCAAGCTGCTAGGCAAGGGCACTGACCCCTCTTGTGCATTATGATCTTACCCTTGTTTCTGCCAGTGACAGATGCAACGGTGGTGGATGGTGTTTTGGAGTGACCGTCATTGACCTGCCATTCCTTTTCTTAGCCCCAGAAAAATACAAAAATATGTTTGTAATGGATATTTATTTTCTTGTTGATGATGATTATTTTTTACAAGTGCATTCATATGATTGTCCAATATGTGTAGTTCCATCTGCTCAACTTACTTGTCTGTTTCTGCTGTCTAAGGCAGTAGCAATGTAGAATAGGTAACAGATTGACAAGGAGGGACAGCATATAGCATAATTTGTGCAGTGTTAACCTATACAGCAGGACCCTCCATATCCCCAGCGGATAGGTTCCAAGCTGCCCAGCAGACGCCTAAAACCTCGGATAGTAGTGAACATGGCATTCATGGGGGTTAGGGACACAGGACCCCTGCAAAAGTGGAAAAAGCATGAATATCTCTAGGGAGAAACCACAAATATTTCAGTGGGGGGGAATCGTGATTATTTCTAGAGTTGTCATGCTATCTGAGAGACAAAGTATGCGAGTGAGGCAGGCTAGTACCAAGACAAAGTATGGCATCCCCAAATAGAATGCCTGCAAATATTTCTGGTTTTTCTCTAGGGATGTTTGCGCTTTTTCCAGTTTCATGAAAATCCTGCATCCCAACCCCCATGAATGTGGAGGGTCAACCTTGGTCAAGAGAAACCATGTGGGGGTCCTGCTAAATGCATTTTCTATGTGTTACCTACTCCACCTGGGTTACCTACTTTCACAGCTGAAACATGCAAGGAAATGGACCAGAGATAACTGCGTGCTTGGGACAGGTGAAAGAGTGCACTTGCAAAAAGCTGACCAAAAATTTATAACCATATTTGTGCAATTCTTAGGAGCCAAGGAGAAAAATGACCCCGCCTGTGCTTTTTTGAGGCTCTGGGAAGGGGAAAAAAAAATAGCAAATGAAAAGGGATAGCAATTAGTGGGAAGATGGAAGATTGAGGGGGAAAGAGCGGGAAAACACACCACTGTGAACTTGATTGTCTGTCAGGCATACTGTGCAATTTATTTTCATGGTGGCTTAGGGTGTCATGCAAATATTGCCAATGCCTCCTATTTTTGTAATATGGAATAAAGAAAATACCAGCTTCATGTTTTAGTTACAGTGGCATCACTTTACTCATGTGTTGGTGTACTTGCAGTTGTGCCCCCATTTGTAGTCCACTTATTTGCCTCCATAATCATGCACAAGGATGCATTGTGCCCCCCTGCCTTGAATTATATGGACCTTCCTTCTTGGCTGTCATAATAGTGTGCATTTTGCTAGTAATATGTTAATGCTACATGGATGAACAGGACCTTGCATGTGCATCTTACGTAGCCAAAGATATTGACCACCGCATCATGTTGACAGTTCTTGTGGACTATTTCCCTCTAGGGCAAACATCAAGTAGCTGCTTGTAAGTTGGGTGCTCTTTCCACCAGCTTGCACTATAAATTGATTATACATGGTGTTAAATGAACAGTTTACGGATGTAGTTGCTGATTTCTTATGCATTGCAAACACTTTGCTTTTGGTATTAACTTGAACATTTATCTGCAGCCTATACGGAGTGGCTTAATCTGCATGAGACATATTCATGGATTTATTTATTTATTTGTTATTGTTTATTGCTCAGTTTGTATTCCGCTACAACTAGTCTGAGGACTCTTAAGTGGATTACAACATTTCACATTAAAAACAACATCAAATTTTAAAACACATGGAAACAACATACATTAAAACAGACAAGCTGCAGTTGTGGAGTCAAATACCAATAAGTTAAAATATATTGTAACTAAAAGCAGTATAAATAACATATAATTAAACAATATAACATCAGTTGTTAAAATGTCTGGAGAAAAGGACTTTTTTGCCTGTGCCAAAAAGATTGTAAAGATGGTGCCAGCGAACTGCTTTCAGAAGACCATTCCATAAATGGGATGCAACCACAGAGAAGGCCTTTTATTTGTTCCACAGTTTCCTTTTCAAGTGGGACTCATATCTGCTTGTAGTGTATTGTGATATGGACTTGATGGCTTGATCCAATAGCTCATAAGGATGTTCCTTCCCTTCTCATTTGATGAGGTTATGATTTTAGCATATACATGATTTTATTTATTTATTTCATTTCTCTACTGCCCCACATCCAAAGCTCTCTGAGGTGCATTGACTCCTTTTTCAGTTATGTAGCATTTTTCTTATGGACTCAAATCAGTGCACAGTACTGAAATTATTCATGGTACAGTTTTCCCATGCCTTCAAGTGAATTAATTTTGTAATCTCTTTGAAGTGAATCTGGAATAACTCAGTCTTGTGAAAGGATCTGCCAACTTTGGCTTTTCTTGCCTTTTGCATAGTAGAAAGTGAACTCACAGTGAGATATTTTCACAACACTAGATTCCAGCAGACTCTCTTCTCCAGTGGTTCTGGGGAAAATGCTTTGCTACATTGGAAGAAAGGAATCAAAGAACTACAGTCACGCTTAATATATCTAGAGTATGGATTTATTTGGAGCTTGCTATGTACCTAATCTTTCACATTACATTATTTTTTTTCTTTTGTTTCTTTTTCTTTTTTTCTTTTTGCAGTGGTATTTAAGAGTCCCAGTTAAGGGCAAGGAACCGGTGGAGGTAAGTACTTTAGAAATCCAAACTTTACTAATTTATGTTTGCATAATTTCGGTTGTGCTTCCTCTATTTCTGTCAGTGATTTCTTCCTCCTCACCCATGGTTCTGTTTTGTTGTTTTATGTAGCACAGCAAGATTAAAATTTTGCCTAGCTGGGAATTTTCCTGCACTCTTCAAAGGCATCAGCCTGGTATATGAGCAAGGAAGGGCAAGGTTGGGGTGGCATAACTGCTTGGGGACTGTTTGAAGTTGTTGTTGTTGTCCAAACTTTCTGCTTACAAAATATATTCATAAGATAAGAAGCAGGCAAAAGCCCTGAAATAAACCAAATGTTTATGGAGTCTTGGTTAAGCTCTTTTGAAAACCAAGTAGTGGTAGCAGTTGTTGTTATGTACTGTCAGGTCACCTCTGACTTATGGCAACCCAAAATGTCCTCCACGGCCCAGCTCAGCTCTTGTAAATTCAGAGCTGTGACTTCATTTATGGAGGCAATCCATCTCATATCTGGTCTCCCTTTTCCTCTTCTGCTTTTGACTTTCCATAGCAAGTCTTCTCCAGTTAGTCTTGCCTTCTCATGATGTGCCCAAAGTATGGCAGCTTCCATTTTGTCATTTGTGCTTCCAGGGAAAGTTGTGGCTTGATTTGATCCAGGACCCACTTGTTCGCATTGCTGTCAGTTCAGGATTGTCCCAGAGCTCTCCTCTCACACTGTGTTTTGAATGCATCAAATATCATTTATACTATGAGAATTGGAGTGGAAAGTTCATGTTCATTGACTGAAGAAATTCCAATGAATTAAGGACTTAAGCAAGACTGTATTGAGCCCCCTTTCTTTTCAGTCTTTCAAGTCTCAGAACTCAGAGGATTGTAGGCATCTTACAGTGTTGGGGAAGCCATGGTGGTTATTTGCAAAGCTCTCCTCCAGCACCATGTTTCAAACACATCAGTTTTCTTTTTGTCAGCTTTCTTCACTGTCCAGCTTTTCCACACATACATACATATATAGTGATCAGGAATACAGTAGAGATATGATCTTAGCCTTGGTCTCCAATGAAATGTCTTTACACTTGATTATTTTTTCTGGTTCATTGTTGCCCTTTTGAGACTCAGACTTCTTCGTATTTCTTGGCTGCAGGCTCTGTTTGAATTAATGACTGGGTCAAGGTTTGTAAAATCTGTCACAATTTCAATTTCTTTATTGTTGACAATAAAGTTCTGTAATTCTTCTTTAGTCTGGATTTTTGCTTTCTTAATGTTCAGCTGCAATCCTGCTTTTGCACTTCCTTCTTTCATGTTAATCAGGAGTAATTTCAACTCATTGCTGCTTTCTGCCAGTAATATGGTATCATCTGCATATCTTAAATTATTGATGTGTCTTCCATCTATTTTCCACTCCCTTTTTGATCTGATTCTAATCTAGCTTTCCTTATGATACGTTCTGCATAAAGTTTGAACAGATAAAGAGATAAAATACATGCTTTTCTGCCTGTAGAAAGCCATTCTTTGTGCTTACAGTAGCTTCTTGTCCGCAATACAAATTACTTATCAGGACAATCAGGTCCTGAGACACACCAATCTGTTTCAGGACCATAAAGTTGCTTCTATCTGTATGCTTGTTAGCACCTTTCAGAATAATTCTAATAGACTAGAAATGCATGGCCAAAACTCTGGCTAGTTAGCTCAGACAGCTATGTGAAATTTAGTGTCCCCCAAATTTTCTACCAGCATTTATTTGGCTTTTCTTCCTTTTTCTCTTCCACTAACACTCCAGGACTCTCTCCTTTTCTTGAAGCCATTGGTCTCCTCCCCCTGTTTTTGTTCTAAAGCTGTTGCTTCAACTCCCTGTCATGTTCTCATTTCTTCAGCAAAATTGCACACCTCTCTATTGAATCTGATTATCTGCCCAAACTTCCCTTTTGTGTCCCCTATTTCAAGAATATCCTTACTTCTGACAGCTGAGGGCACTGGGACCTATGGAGGGCATCCAATACCTTGAGGATTGCTCTACTCAGTGAGTGGGGATCACCTAGCCCCTTTTTGCAAGCAAAGATCACTTGTGGATTTGTTTTCCCTTGATGGCCTTTTAATAGCTGTCAGGGTAAAGCAAAGTGGGAGAAAATCATATTTGGAACTTCTATCTGTTAATGGTCAGAGTTGGTATCTGCTGCACCTGAACAGCAGGTACCTCATGATATTGCCTAGGAGAAGCTTCTCAGATGCCCAAAAGTGTACAGGAGTAACTTGTTCCAGTCTAACTAGAACAAAGCAGTCTACTCATGATTTGCACGAGTCATGAGTATAATGAAGCAGTTCAGCTCCCCCATCCTAGCTTAGAGACTCCTAACATCTCTGAGTCTGGGGCTTATGGGCATCCTGATAGGATTATGTCCTGAACGGCTGTGCAGAAGAACTAAAGGGATTGTAAGTTTACACTTACGTGGCACCCAGGATTTACTATCAGATGTTGTTGAAGTGATTGGAAACATTGACTGCAACACTTTCAAATGTAAATAGAAAATTGACAGGATTTTCGACATCACATTTGACGTTGAAAGAGGAAGCGTCTTCAAAATGATAGGAGTGGTAAAAAGGAAGTTCATATGGAGAATAAAGAGGATAAAATCTCTCTAGAATATTTGGGGGGTACTTAAAAGCACACTGAGGGTGTGTGTTGAGACAGAAGAAGTCTCACAGCTCCTAGTATTCCCCAGGCAGCTATAGAGGGAATTGTAATACTACTTGTTTAAACATGCATAGGATTGTGACCTAATTGTACAGCACAGCAGAAAACATACCACCAAATCAAAGAAGTAACCAGCCTTGTCAGTGAGCAACGTCAAAAAAACTGTTAGAAAGAAGGTTTCCTTCAGAAAATAATCTTGCTCAAACAAAACTTGCTCCCCACTCCAAAAAAAAGAAAAGAAAAGAAAAGTAATGGTAGAATACAAAGAGGGATGCAAAAAAGGATGTTGAGGTGCGCTGCCCTACTAGCATTAAGACCAATGAAAGAAATAATCTTAAAATATATCCGAACCAGTAAATTGGCTAGAGAGGACACTGTACACAGGACAGCAATGGAATTGAGGATAAGGAGCTTGCAAAGAAGCTGAATTACTTCTTTGTGTCTGTTTTTACTGCAGAAGAGATAGAATGCATACCCATACCTGAATTGATATTTTCAGGAAGGGAGTATATAGTGGCCCTTACCAGCAAACTGAGAAATATTGACATTGCTGATATTCAAACAAAAATAACATATTGGAAGGTAGACCCTTTAAAAATGGGTCTGGAGAATTCTGGAAATAGTTAAAGGAAAATGTTATTAAGGTGCTTTCAAGTGGAAGGGTTCAGGATTCCAGCCACTGCATTCCATCCTGTAGCACCGGATCCCAACTCCATATTTTAATTTTATTTTTCTTTCGGTTTCTCCTTCCTCAGTAGTCAGTCAACATTCTGTGGTTGCTGAGCATGCGCAATTCTCATTGGACTGTTTGTGGTCCAATGTTTGTGGTCCAATGTCCCCCACCCACAGTTTTTGTATTTCTGAAAACTTTCCTTTTCCCCAAATTTGCTGATACTTCCTCTTATTTATCAGTGGTTACATAATCCAGAGCACTCCTGGGCATTAGTTCAGAAAGGGAACAAATGGACCCTGCACTGAAATGTTGTGGTATATTCCTGATAGATGTCTGTTACCACATCTTGTGTCAGAGGAGCTGAAAAAACAACAGTTAGCATCAAAGACGGGAATCCTTGCTTCAGCTTAGGTTTTATTTCATGTGCATTTTGAAGTGTCCAAACATTTAAAAGTGCAACTAGTCTGCATGAAAGGCAGCTTCTGAATGCACCTTAGTGCTTGATTATCTTCGGATGAGGACTGAGGAGGTAATTTAAGTAGATTGAGCTTTGATGAAACTTGAGAGTTTTGATGAATTTTTGACTGGGAATCCAAACCAGACTTGCCTTTGACCTACAGTATTAACACTGGGCTATGCTGCAGCTGCCATGAGCTTCTCATCCAGTCAGAGCCCCTTTCAGCCTGTAGTATGAAAAATGAACTGCATTGTTTTAGAATTCGCATGTATAATAGCTGCAATTTGAAGGCAGGAAATTATCTAGACAATGAGATGGTTCTCTACCTCTTTTTTGATCTCTTGTGTTTGCTTCTACCCTTTCTGCCATTCCATTCCCCCTCCCATCCAGTTCTTAGCCCTTTCCCTCAATTTCATTAACATTCTCTAATATGTTTTAGGATATACGTCCCTTCCCTCTTAGGTCCCCCCCCCCATAAAGTTTTGTATATTTTCTGCACATCTTTGGGTTTTAAGTATCCCTTCTTGTTCCTGGGTGCTGTTGTTTTTGTTGTGTAGTGGTAGACAGTCTCCTTTGATATTTGGAAGCAGAATTTATTATGATAAAAGTTCAGATGCCTGGCTTAGGTAGGCCCTTCTGCTAGTACTCTGTTGTCATCTTATGAATCTGAGATGCTGCATATTTCTGAAGATTATCTGGTGAGGGTAGAAGAGTTTTGTCTTTTCCTGGCTGTAGAACTGTTCATTTGCTTTGAGCCTTTCAAGACTATTAATACAACAGTGCAATTTATCATCTCACTTGCACATACCATATGTGGACTAATACATGGTGATCCTTTTTCGATATGCAGGCATGTGATGTTTGCACATATATGTGCATGTGCATCATTGCATATGGTATAAAACACAGTGACACCTAACAGTCCTGCAGTTGTACCATTTCTGGGCTAGTATGATTTTCAGATATGAAAACACATGTGCTTACATGTGAAGCTAACTGAAAATAGTATAACACACAGGTTGATGAAGCAGAGAAGGAGTTTGTTGTCATAGAAAGGGAACAGGTACTCTCATGTGATCTTTATTTACTTTCTCCATACAGTAAGGAAGAGGCAGATCCCTGTATGTTACTGCATGGTCTATGTGCGAGGGTACGTGTCCATCATTAGATATTCATACCCACATTTAACA